CTTTCTCCTCTGTAACGGGCTTTCTCCTCTGTAACGGGCTTTCTCCTCTGTAACGGGCTTTCTCCTCTGTAACGGGCTTTCTCCTCTGTAACGGGGTTTCCTCTGTAACGGGGTTTCCTCTGTAACAAGGTTTGCTCAAGTATGGTTCCTCCCTGTCTGGTGGGACACTGAGGTGATTAAGTGGGTCAAAAAGGAGCATTTGTTTTAGTATGTATTGCTACAGAGAAAGCTTTTTTTTTTTAAATGAGTTAGTTTAAAGAAAAATATTAAGTAAACAATAGTACAGGCTGTTAGTAGATATATGAAAAACTATGAAGGCGATAGAGCAAAGACTGAGATTAAGGAAACACTAGATACCTATTAAAAATAAGCATATAGGGTGTGCGCAGTGGCTCACACCTGTAATCCCAGCACTTTGGGAGGCCAGGATGGGCGTATCATGTGAGGTCAGGAGTTCAAGACCGCCCTGGCCAACATGGTGAAATCCTATCTCTACTAAAAATACAGAAATTGGCTGGGCGTGGTGTCATGTGCCTGTAATTCCAGCCACTTGGGAGGCTGAGGCACAAGAATCGGTTGAACCCGGGAGGTGGAGGTTGCAGTGAGCTGAGATTGGGCCACTGCACTCCAGCCTGGGTAACGGAGTGAGATTCTGTCTCAAAACAAAACGAAACAGAAGCATATAAACCAGACCCGTACAGCTGGCTAAGTGTAAACTGACAAAAATTAAATTTGGAATCAAAACATTTATTTTTCTTCTATAAAATTCCTTGAGGGCCTGGGAAACTGAATATTGTTAGAGATGATGTTTCCTCTGCTGTGATAATTTTACAAATTGGCATTTTCATAAAGTCACTGCCCAGTTCATATGTTGTTCGTTAGTTGTTAAATGCCTTAAGTCACTACCAAGAAAGTGAAACATTGGGCAGAATTTCAATTACTGCCATCACATGCAGCCTTCACATTGATTCCAAAGCCAGAAGAGACATGTTGTATCTCATTTATGTTTTAGCCAAAGCCTTCTCAGACACACATCATCATTTAAAGACTGTGAGATAAATTACTACCTTGGCCAGTGAACACATTACGTCCTCTGTATGGTTTTTATCAAGTAACTGCCCAGTGCTCCCATGACGCTGGTCAGGTCCCCTTGTTAGGCCAGCAAGGGCCATGGTTCCTTGATAATTAAGTGTTAACATGTTACACTCCTTTTTATGGTTACTGGTGACCTACTTTGCAGAACAATTTGTTCATTCCAGATTATGATGATGGCTTTTCAATGAAGCATACAGCCACCGCCCGTTTCCAGAGAAACCACCGCCTCATCAGTGAAATTCTTAGTGAGAGTGTGGTGCCAGACGTTCGGTCAGTTGTCACAACAGCTAGAATGCAGGTCCTCAAACGGCAGGTCCAGTCCTTAATGGTTCATCAGGTAAAGTCATAAAACATTCATTTCAATAAAATGGGCTTATACCACAAATCCCAGCTGACATGATTCCTACACCATGCCTAAATGTACCTGTTAAATATGTCAGTCTAAACTGTTCCTGATTTGGAGAAGAGGTTTAAGGAAGTGGACCTTTCCCAAATGTTTAATAAGTTTGTCATTAAAAACTATAATATAGAACCTTGTAATGGAAGGTATATTTGTTAAGAAATACATGTGAACTTAAGAATTTTGAGGCATCCTATCGGTCTTTACTGCTCTACTAAATACTTTTTCCAAAGGAATTGCTCAGGCCTGAAACAGTATTCTTTAACATTTACCTATTGATCATAATCATTTCTTTGTGCTGCATTTTGTATTTTTTAAATCTTAGCTAGACTCGTGTAATAAATGATCTAAAGTTCAAAACATTATTTGGTACACTGTTTGAAAGTATGAACCATTAAAACAGGAGACATGATTGTAAAGCCTGATCCTGTCTTGCAGCGAAAACTAGAAGCTGAACTTCTTCAAATAGAGGAACGACACCAGGAGAAGAAGAGGAAATTCCTGGAAAGCACAGATTCATTTAACAATGAACTTAAAAGGGTATCTGTTTAATATGTTAACTATACTTTTATCACCGTACCTGTTACTTTATTTTTCCTCATTCTTTTTTCCAAAATAGTATTTTTATTGAATGTTGTTCACTTTGAAACAGGGCTAACTTTACTATAAAACCTGTAAGATCTTTTTTTTTTATAAAATTGTTCCCATTCTCTTGACAAAATTGCAATAAATTTGAAATATCATGAAGTATATGCATATCTACTAGGCCTATAAATGCTAGAGCCCTCTGATATTTTAAACTCCCATACAGTCATTAACTACTTTCATTTTATTGTGATTTATTCATCAAATGTCTTCATTAAATGTAATTTATAGTTTGCACTTTGCATTCAGACAAGGAAATCTAGTTGGTAGCCCAGAATGTAAAATGGAAGCCTTATGTATACCCCAGAATTTTCACTATTTTGCCTCACCAGCTGCTCTGGAATATCCCGTATTATATGACTGCTAGAGCAGTTTTCTTTTCTTGTAGACCCAAGAGTTTCAGAGAAGACCTAGAACCACATTTTTTTGCGCACATACACAGACACACAGGTGTATAGATATATATATAGTTCATAGGCAAGGAAACCAACTTTTGAAAGAATATATCTGGCTCAAAAATTATAAGGAAAAACATTACCGAGTTCTGTTTTTTTCTTACTAGTTGTGCGGTCTGAAAGTAGAAGTGGATATGGAGAAAATTGCAGCTGAGATTGCACAGGCAGAGGAACAGGCCCGCAAAAGGCAGGAGGAAAGGGAGAAGGAGGCCGCAGAGCAAGCTGAGCGCAGTCAGAGCAGCATCGTTCCTGAGGAAGAACAAGCAGCCAACAAAGGCGAGGAGAAGAAAGACGATGAGAACATTCCAATGGAGACAGGTAACCCACTAGCAACAAACGCAAAGGAAGTGCCAAGGCTTTGTATGGCTGTCTTTAATTTAGGTTTTTCTTTCTAAGTGCAGGTATTCTGGTACCTGCCACTGAGGGTGATGCCGAGTACTAGATTTGACATGATACTGACATTCAAAATTTTAACCTTTAATGCTTACATTATTTATCAAGATGTAGTTATTACTGTTAAGATTAATTGTCTTTGGTGTCCTAGGACAGCATTCTGCAAAGTAATACCTGTAAGGCAATCCTGCCCATCACTTGTTTTTGTAAATAAAACTGGAACACAGCCACACTTGTTTGTTTACATACTGTCTGTGGCTGCTTTGGGGCTAAAACAGTGTAGTTGAGTAGTTGCAGCAAAAACTGCCTGACCTGCGAAGTCTAAAATATTTTCTGTCTGGCTCTTTACAGAAAAAAATTGCCAGCTCTGTCCTAGAAAAACCCTTACTTCTAGGTATACTGATTTTCCTGATTAAAAGCATCCCTCAAGGTAAAAAAATAAAATTAAAAATAACTTGTATCAATAAAACTTACATACAGTACTGATTACATTGATCATCACTTGTAATTTTGAGATCACCTTACCTCATAGCACTGTTTTGACACTGCCTAGTACACTGTGTAAACAGGACTCAGCTAAAAGTAGTTATGGAAAACAAAACCAAAGGCTTCCTGGAGCATCGTTGAAAGAAGTGGGAGGGACAGTAGTGATACTTGGTTCTCAAATGACAACCTCCGAGTGCCATACTTTGTACTCAAATGACAGCCATCTGGAAAACATGAATGGAATATAGATATCTTTCCCAGGTATTTCTGCAAAATTTAATCCAGCAGATTAACATTTTAAATAGTCATATTTTAAGTTTCACTATCTGAGTCTCTTTCTGTTTTGTATGAACGTGAATTCATTCATCTTAATGAATTTGGAGCATGAGCACATTTTTGTGGTTAAAACAAAAGCTTGCAAAATAAAATACTGATTTTTGCTAATTTTACAACTAGACGAACACTCAGTCCTATGCCTCTGTTTTGGCATCTATGAATGGGGCATGTCTTATGCTTAAGGTTTGCAGGTCTTTACTCAGGTTCTGTCCTCCTAGTTCAAGGAAAAAACCTGAAGAAAATTGTTTGAGACTATTAGAGCTAAAACCTCATGCTTTTAATTTCTTACAGGAAACAGCCCAGCATGACTTTAAACAAAGTGTCTAAAAGATCAACCTTGTATTATTTCTACAACTGCTTTCTTCTTGTTTAATCCATAACACTACAGACTAACGCTCATTCACTGTCCAATAGAAATAAAATGCAAGTCACATGTGAAATTTTACACTTTCTACTAGTAACATATTTTTAAAAGTTAAGCCAAACAAGTGTTTTAACAGTATGTTTTATTTAATTCAACATATCTTAAATAAAATTATTTCAACACGGAAGGAACATTTTTAAAATCAGCTTTCCTTTTTTTAAATAGTCTTCAAATCCAATGTATATTTTATACTTTTATACACATCTCAAGTCAGAAGCTAAATTTTCATCAGAAGTATTTGATCTGCATTTATTTAATAAATTTCATTAATTTACAGCTAAAAAGTAGATTTTTCATACCCAAATTGTTCCAACATTCTTAAAAGTTCTTTAGTCACACTGGCTCATTTCAGGGGTTTAATAACCACATGTGGCTAGTGGCTACCATATTGGACAGCACAGCTGTATACTGTCAGCTTAACTAGAGTAGAATTTCATCTTGGAACTGACAGTGACAAATGTGTGATTACAGAGGAGACACACCTGGAAGAAACGACAGAGAGCCAACAGAACGGTGAAGAAGGCACGTCTACTCCTGAGGACAAGGAGAGTGGGCAGGAGGGGGTCGACAGTATGGCAGAGGAAGGAACCAGTGATAGTAACACTGGCTCGGAGAGCAACAGTGCAACAGTGGAGGAGCCACCAACAGATCCCATACCAGAAGATGAGAAAAAAGAATAAATGTTGCCTTGTTTTATGTGTTCTAAATACTTTTTTAAATGAAAAAATGTTTTTTGGTTTTAATGGTGTTATGTGGTTTGTGTATTAATTTTTTTCTTGTCCATATCACACCACCAAAGGCTTTTGGACCATTTAGCATCATGAGCCTAATGGCACAGTCAGTCACCTTTCTTAAGTGTTGTGAAGATGGCTCTTTTCTTTGGATCTTGTTTCTAGCCCTCAACTGCTGAAAGCCTCAGAATTTAGGTTAATTGAGAAAACACCCACCTCTTTTAGAGAATTATCCTTTGATGCTGCAGAATCTACTCTTACAATGCCTTCCTACAGCTCACTGGGGTGCTTACCAAAGCCATAGCTTTAAACCTTCCCAATCCCCATCAACAGCTTCCTGAAAGTTTCCTCTCTTGTTTACTTCTGCAAAGGGTAGCTTCTTAAAAACGTGATCATGTATGAGTAAGTATTTGTTCACTTACCCTTTTTTACTTTTAATCAATGTCAGATACCAAGAGTTGTGTTAAGAAGTTGAGTGTAGCCTGCAACTACGCGTGGATCTTACTGATCCAGAAATAGTCCCCATAGTTAGAGTAGTTACTTATGAAATGGTCATTAAAGTGAACACAGCACATATACATTATCTGTACTGCTTTTTGTTATGATTAATATTGGGTATGTTCTGGTAAATCCATCCTTATTGTATAGAAAGAAAATTACTTTTTTACCAGGTTTTCCAAAGACAGAATAGATCACAAAGCTCAAGGAATTTAATATTCTTGTAATGGACTAGATAATTCAAACTGATTAGCCCATTTCTGAAGAAAAACAGCTGGGAATTAAGTTAATCCACTTGAAATTGTTTTACAATAATCAGAACATTCGAAACCTCAAGGCTCAGGATCCCATAGATCAGAGCCCACCTTTTTGATAAACTCTTAAAGTCTTGGAGACTAGAAGCAAGATAGTTTGTGACACATATGCTTCCCAAAAACTAGAATAGATTTTTACTGAATAGTGGTATATCTGATGGTATATGTTTCTTAAAGGTCCAAATGTAATAAAAAAAAAAATGAAGAAAAAGGTCTCAGTGTTTTTAATGCACTACGTAGTTGTATGCAAGACAGGCATCCAGTTTTTTTCTGTAATGCAGTGACAGTGTGGAATGACCACTCAGCCATTATGAATTTGTGTACTCAGGGCCCTTGTCTCACCCAACTGTCTCGATAAACTGCTGCAATAGTTTATTTGTACAAGACACTTGTGAAAATCACTTTTCTTACATTATAGTCAATGTCACATACGGAAGTTGGTCTTTGACTCCAAAAGTAAAGGGAATATGAAGAAATCTGTAACGTTTGAACTGTCTTTGAAAAAATGGCTATGTAATAAATGTAAGTCCTGTGCTTATATGGAGAGAACTCTGTACCAGCATGAGTTAATTTATAGTGAATTCACTGCTATTCAGTTCATAGCACATTAGTGACTAGGAATCTATGTTCAGCTTCCTGAGAGGAGGGGAGGAAGTTTGATGTTGGGTGGAAACGACTCTTGACATCTGTTTCCTTGTGCGTCAAAGAACGAATTCGTATCAAATCTGTTGAGCTTTGGCCATTATATGGCTAAGAACTTCAGCCATCTCATCTCAGACGAATTGGACAGCCTCTTTGATACATTTTCTAGTAGTCAAAATGGGGCAGATGTAGTATAATATGGGTGGAAAACAGTGCCCCAGCAAGATACCAGGTTATTTACTGTGGTATGGAAAGCTCTAAGAGAATGGAAGTGGTTCTTTTGCCCAGCTGGAAATAGCACTGGGAAAACAAGTGTATCCAGACCAAGCCTGCCCATACAACACTGGCAATTGGTTGATGAGGGAATTAAGTCAGATGGGAGATGGGATTTTTTTTTTTTTTAAGTTGGAGTCTCCATCTGTTGCCCAGGCTGGAGTGCAGTGGTGGCGATCTTGGCTCACTGCAACCTCCGCCTCCCAGGTTCAAGCAATTCTCCCTGCCTCAGCCTCCAGAACAGCTGGGATTACAGGCTCTCGCCACCACGCCCAGCTAATTTTTGTATTTTTTAGTAGAGACGGGGTTTCACCATGTTGGCCAGGCTGATCTTGAACTCCTGACCTCCGGTGATTTGCCCACCTTGGCCTCCCAAAGTACTGGGATTACAGTCATGAGCCACCGTGCTCGGCCTCAGTTGGGATTTGACAGCTCTGAACCTCAGCAGGGGAAGACTGAAGTAAAAATCCACTTTGTCAGAGTGATATATGTAGACTTGTTTGAGATGGTTGTCGGTTTAGAGAATGTGGGATGTGGTAGAGGTCTTTGTTTTTTTCCCATGTCCCAACAGGCACTGGAGCAAGTTACTTAAACTCTTGAGCCTGTTTTAATTATAAAATAGATCAAACTGCTCTCTTTCTCGGTGCCCTTACTGCTCCTTGATTTTTAGTGCATTTATTTTGAGTATGAATGCAGAAAGTCTGAGGGCCTAAATTTTATTAATTTTTAACAAATGGGAGAGGGGAATCCTTGATAGTCCCCCAATCAACTTTCCTTTTGTTTTGAGAATGAGTCTTGCTCTGTCGCCCAGGCTGGAGTGCAATGGCACCATCTCGGCTCACTGCAACATCCGGCTCCTGGGTTCCAGCAATTCTCCTTCCTCAGCCTCCTGAGTAGCTGGGATTACAGGTGCCCGCCACCATGCCCGGCTAATTTTTGTATTTTTAGTAGAGTCAGGGTTTTCCTTGTTGGCCACGCTGGTCTTGAACTCCTGACCTCCTGATCTGCCCTCCTCTGCCTCCCAAAGTGCTGGGATTAGTTTTCTAACAGGAATTTTAAAGTCTGTAACTTCTCCTGTCTATAAATAAGGCTGTCTTTTAAATGACTCTCCTACAGGATGTGATAATTATGTATTCTATAAAGCCGAGATTTGGAGAGAGGTAAATAGCTATTTCACATTAATACAATAATGTAAATGCCCTATGGAAAAGATACAATACTTGGACTATGTTTTAAAGGGGAATCTGGGGTCTTGCATATTGAAGTTTAACTAGATCCCTCCAGATTTTTGGTTTTGATCCTACACTTTTAGATACTAGTTTTTGGATTTTAGACAGTTGGTGCTGACGGTGTGAAACTTCTATTGCCTGCAGTTAAATTGAAGCTTTGGTTTCTCATGTGAACAGGCAGTGAAGCTGGGATTATACTTTAAGTCCTCATTTCAGAAATAGTTTCCCTCCACCCGCAAGCACTACCACACATGGTCTCCCCACCTGGTTTCAGCTAGTGCATTAGTTTTATCTTGTTTTTTACCGCTGGGCAAACCTTGCTGGAACAACAACTGACTTCATGATTTGCACATTTGGAGGGCTTAATGTCTTTGCAAATGAAAAATCCACTGTGCATTAACAAGCTCAAAGGAACTCGGAGCCTTTTTAGAAGAAATCATCCTCAATTATAATGTGGCTTACTGCAATAATGTTTCTTTGATCAGGATGGAAAGGAAAATACTGAGTTTAGCAGAACACTTTTTGGTGTCTAAATGTATTTGTAATGATACAATTGTTTATCAGTGTTTTAGATTGAACCATAAGACACTGCCAGTGTACGATTTCATCTACAAAATGACAACTTCACCTGGCTTAACCTAAATTCTGCGTTTTGTACTCCAAGAATAAGCTCTTCATGGCAGCTCTCTAAGTGTGAAATGATGGAACTTTCTATTTGCCAGAATGACCTACACTTCTCTAATAGTTTATCTCACATTGTTAGCCAAACGCTGATTAAAACGCAAATCTCAAACTATTGACTTTTTAAGAGCCTGATGTTTAAAATACACTGTGGTGAACTTATAGTTAAACTAGCTCGTTTATGTTCACACATTTTCTCATTTAGCACCAGAAAGTTTCTTACAGCTCTTTTGCATGCATTCAGGAGTAAAAAGCATTATATGGGGAGGGGAAATTCCCAAATGATAAAAGCTTTTTACCTAAAAGTGAGACAGTAACTGCAGATAATGGCTCCCTTTGAGGAGGCACTTGAAAGAACGGAAAGGCTGCCTTAAACTTCTTGACTTTAAGGGGCAGCAAGGACCCTCGGTCAGCCACCTCCACACCTGTCTAGCACTTGGTCCCAGGTGCCCATAGGCGTCATGGCTCTGCTTAAATAAATACCTCTAGTCCTGGGGAGTCCATCATCTCTTAAGATAGCTCATTCCTTCTTTAGTTCACTAAAGGTATTTCCTCTCACTGAGCTAAAATCTGTCTTCCTATAATTTCAGCCACCCTCTTACACACCTTGAAGTCAATTAGAGTACGTGTCACCACCTTCCAAGTAAAAGATCTTCAAATATTTCAAGACATGTGCCCCTTGAGATCCTTTCAGAAGACAATTTCCATTTTCTTTTTTAGAATTTTTAATTTTTTAATGTCCAGAAAAATCTGGAACATAGATAGTTTACATTCTCATTGTCCTGTTGTCTCCCCTCCAATGTGTCTCTCCTGGGATAAAAGGACTGTCTCTTTTCAAACACGTTTTTCTCTAATCTGGTAAAGTGTTTCCTCCCCAGTGTATTGTACTTGAGACACAACATCTCCAGATCATGGAAACCATCTGCCTAAAATACAGGGGTGGTCCCATGATGACCTCACGGTCCTGTACAGCACAGAAGTTTTGTAACTGTACTACAGATTCGAGCTCCATGAAATGAGCGTTGACGAATGTTTTCAGATGTAGCACAACGAGGAGCACACAGGTTCAGTTCACTGAGTTAGTACTTCTCAAACTCGATCATTTGCATGCCACCATCACAATTTTTACCGTTTCTGGGTACGACTTGTGCTATTATTACTTAGCAGCTTTCTTTGAATCAGCTTCTTCCACTTGAATGACTTATTTTAAAGGGAAACTGTGTATCAGCATAAATGTTAAAACCGTTGTCTTTTGTCAAAAAAGAAAATAACCTTAACACAAATATTTTAGTAGTTCTGTTTAGACTTAAATATGTACTATGTAAAAGAGTATTATTTAAGGCCAAGTGTGGTGATTCATATCTGCAATCTCAGCACTTTGGGAGGCCGAGGCAGGAGGATCACTTGTGGTCAGAAGTTCAAGACCAGCCTGGGCAACATAGCAAGATCCTGTCTCTATTTTTTAAATAAAGTTTAAAAAAAAAAAAGAACATTCTTTAAATGGTCTTTGTACTACCCAAAATCATCCCAAGGATCCCACGTGGTGGTCTGGATAACACACATGGGAGAAGACAACAGTAATGGGAAGGGCTATCTCCTGCTACCTGCAGTTGCAGGAGGCTTGTCTTTTTAGAAACTATCCCTGGGTCAACAGCGGCTTATAACTCAAGGGCAAATTTGGAAAGTTAATTCCATGATCACCTAATAATAATAAAAGCCAACATTTGTTGAGCACTTACTATATGCTCATGCACTTTTTATACTTTTTATTTTCTAATCCCTGAAGTTAATATTAGAGTAGATCACTTTACCAATGCAGTTTATATTTATGATCTTGGGCCTGAGTTGATCAATCAACTCCTACAAACCATTTTTCCTGGAGAGAGGAAAATTAGCCTCAGGCTGTTGTACAAGAGATTAAATGACATCAAGATTGAACATCTGTGCTAGGGATTTCATCATTGTGGATCAATAATTCAAAAGACTCAAGACAAAAGTATCCACTCGGAGATCAGTGTTCTTGCAATGGGAGATGTATATGGAAAAACTATTCCCTTTGTAATCCTTTCCTTCTTCCCTCCAAAGCTCTCCATACCACCAAAATGAAAAAGTACACACACACACAAACACACAGACTTAAATAATTTGTGTGTCTACAATAATACAAAATACTGTGCTACACAGAGAACTACTCTCATGTCTGATGTCTGCTGTGTTATGTGTGCATTTTACCCCTGTTGTGGTTTCCTGTCAATCAGTGAGCAGTGGGAAACCTTTTAAAAGACATCCCTGGTTGGGTGTCAAAAATTTCAGGAAGTATCAAATTAGATGGATGTTATGCAGAATAACTCTCTGACCTTTAACCACCTCTTCCTGGTGT